CATGGCTAAAATGCATGATCTGTTTGGTATTTTGAAAAATAAAACTTATAAATATACCTTATATAGGTATGGCCCTACAATATATTATTCAAATATAGCATGATAGGTCCCCTTTAAGCTACTGAGACCCGCCTGTCTGCCTGCACCGCACGCACGCACGCACGCACGCACGCACGCACACACACACACACACACACACACACACACACACACACACACACACACACACACACACACACACACACACACACACACACACAGTACAACAAACACAAACAGCTCCTAAAGCATAACTAAATATCAGGCTACAGCCCTTGTATATTTTATTATGTGAAGCACTATATGGTTTCATGAAAAATATCTACTGTTTATTGGTAGATATCTCCTGAAGCCTACAAATAAAGTGTGAAATGTAGGCCTGTTACATATATTATTGAGCGATATATATTATACACACTGTTCTGCTTTCTGCACTGACCACAGCAGCTGTTCTCACTGTAAACCTTGCCTCACAATGAAAGCATAACCTAACATCCAGGGGAGATGTGATTAGTGAGTAAACAAACAAACGGTAAAGGGCAGAAAGTCTGATGCACATTTGATCATCTTGAATAACTTATAATCACAACGGGAACCGTTTGCAGAGCTGTGCTTCGTTGACATCCAGCCATGCGTCACGCCTCTTTTAAACATCACTGTTGGCTGAAATCGTCTCCGGAGAATACTTCAGTGTACCCTCGGTTATAGCTCCTCCAGAGACACTCCTCTCTCCTCTAAATCAGTGTATCCGGTCACGGCTCCTCCAGACAGCCTCCTCGATAATCGATCCTCGACGAGCCTTCAGAGAAATTAGTTTTCCTTCCAGACGGCGCGCCGACATCCGTTTCCGGGCTCGGCTCATTTCCGAGTACTCGCGCGCGTCTGCTTGACGCCAGGACGACCGGCCGCCCTCCCTGACAGGCGCACGGACGCGAGGGCCCGCTCATCACTGCGCGCACAAGTGCGACCGCAGTTTTAATTGGATATTAATTTTGTGGAGAGCACTTAACTTTGGATTCAAGATGGCTAGGAGGGAACACTAAAGGGAACAGCAGAAAAACACAGACAGGAAGTAAACACTAAATGGAACAGCAGAATAAGTCAGACTGGAAGTAAACACTAAAGGGAACAGCACAAGAAGACATACAGGAAGTAAACACTAAAGGGAACAGCAGAAGAAGACAGACAGGAAGTAAACACTAAAGGGAATAGCAGAAGAAGACAGACAGGAAGTAAACACTAAAGCCCCTGTCACACTGTCCCGAAATTGACACCAGATGGACACACGATAAAGGAAATGTTACATTTCGGCTCTGATCGTAACAACATCGGGCCATTCGTGAGGGCATCTTAAGCCATCGTTTGACCGCCGGTGGAGTTTCTCAGGCTCCGTCAGCAACTTCATGAGCGGTGGCAAAATCTTTGGCATGCCAAAAAATTGCAAAAGGACCATGCGAAGGTTCATTTTCGTGTTGAATTTGTGTGTCATTTTTCCCTTCCTAAGGCACTCGTGAGGGCATCTTGTCAAATCGTGTCATCTTTGTGTGATCATCGGTGTCATCGGGCATTTTTTCGCCTCACAAAGACAATAGGAAGGAAACAAGAAGCTTCCCGATTGTCTTAGGAAGGCAACACGACTACGTGAAGCCCTCGCAATGCCATCGTGTAGCCATCGTATTATAGTACGATGACATCGAGATGGGACCACGGTGTCGGCGAAGACAGCCGAATTTGAACTGTAATGGTAACGTGGACAAAGGCCAGCCTCAGAGGATCTTCCTCAGTCAGTCCTGAGCAACTCTACAGAGCAGAGGCGTGTGTAACTCCCAAAGCTTCAATCACAATTAATCACAAATGCTCTATCGAAATCAGTAGCAGTGATGATACCTGTATTAAGCAGATGAAACAGGAGCGTGAGGACACGGTGTGCGATGTTTCACTTCTCTGGTTGTTTTATTGCACAACAAAATCATGTAAACATATTATGTAATTAACCTAATTTGTGTTCTGTGAAACTGAAAAGGATATTACATTGTTTTTGTTACTTTCGTTGCAGTTGCTTTACACGGCGAACTCTCCTTTTTCCAAGGGTTGGGACTAATTCTTACATACGGTCTCAGTCTGAGTGCATTCTCGAACACCCGGAGAAGCCCCCACGATTGTAAATTCGTTATGTTAAATAAGAAATCGAAAAGGAGAATATTACATCTAGTCTATACTGAATGCGAGGCAGTCAAAAAGGTTATCGTTGTTCGTTGAAGGACAGTTGTCGCATTTGAGTGGAAGCCTTTATTTCGGAGATTTATTTTGTCCTTCAATTGTTGGATTTAATGTANAAAGTTGAAAAGTTTGTGTGTCTGAAACGCTATGTGATACAGTACAGTTTGTGTTACCATTTAGTGCAATAGCAGCTACAGAACATGTACTGTGCTGTGTAAACTGTACTGTATCACATAGCGTTTCAGACACACAAACTTTTCAACTTTCAAACTTAAACGGTGCGCTCCCAGCGCACGTACCGGCAGTGATCTACAGCAGCGGTTTTCAACCAGTGGTACGGGGACAAACTGTCTCGCTCTCGTAATGTCTGTCTGTCTTGCTCTCGTTCTGTCTCTCGTACCACTCTCGGTTCCACTTTTACTTTTGCGCGCTACCTGTCTCACTCTTTTCCGGCCTCCAGCTTTTCCTGCTGGAACCCGCCGCTTAAAGGTGGGGGTCCGCGGACCGGCCATAGAGTCCATAGAGTTAAAGGTGGTGGACTGTAACCTGTAAAATCCATAGATTTAGGAGGTCCCCTAGTGCCCGTTAGCTGTAAAAATCCATAGATTAGCCGCACCGTTATATAAGCGGCAGCGTCGAAAAATGGGAAAAAAGGCGCGGCTTATAGTCCGAAAATTACGGTAGTTATATCTAGGTTCAGTGTTTCTGCCACTGAAGGCTCCACTGCTGCCTTCGAAAAATGTGAATTAATGCTTGAAATCTTGTATGATTTTCTTACACGTGACGTTACACCCGAGTGAAAACCCTTTCAAACAAGAGCTTGACCTGTAACTACAGGACAAAAAAAAGGAAATGTGTGAGACGTACATCTTTACTGGTGGTCGTTCTGGTTGCCATGGTAACAGCTGCTCAGCAGCGTCAGCTACCTAACTTCCGGCCACGGTGGCACATCTGAGCACACGGTGAAGGAGCAACTCTCCCTCCATGCTGACAGAGATGAAGTGGAGCATGGATTGAGTATTGAATAAAAACATTTAGGAGAAATTATTAAAAGCTGCTTGAACAGTTTTTCTGTGGCTTAGAGTTTCGAAACATAATATGTTGTTTAAAGTTTGAAATAATTTACGTTTTTGAGTAAGACAATAGACCCAAAAAAGAATAGTGTATCCAGACTCCCCTAGTGCTGACACAAGTCTATGGTAGCCCCATTTGGTCAGTGATTGACAGAGCCTTTTATAAGATGCAGCTGTTTCTCCACACCTCACCACCAGTCGCTTGTAATAGGACTTGTGTGTATAAATGGACGCTGGATGTCTCTAACCTTCAATATGTCTCTGGGTTGTAGCGGTGCCGGTTGGGACGTGCAGCCAGAGAAGCTGGACTTCAGCCATTTCCACAGGAAACACTTCAGAGGAACGCCAAAGCACCTGCCACACATCGACAGAGAGGGGTAAGACCTTGGTTCTGCTGATGCTGCTCTGACTCAGCATTGTATTGATCATTCCATATTATTTAAGATATGGCTTTAGGATTGTCCTCTGTCACTAAGCCAATTCATGCCTGTCAATCGCTGATAGTTATTTTCTCTCTTCCAGGATGAATAAAAACAAGTTTGAGGAAGATGACGGCATAGACATGAATGACATAGAGAGGTTCCTTCCCCATCTGCGCTCTGTAAGTCACAGTTTTCTCTCTTTTTGTGACTGTAATTTCTCCTACTTACATACATGTCTCACTCTGATAAGTAATATGTCGTAATATGCATATCTTTGAACTGCACATGCTACGTCATGTGGTTTTGCACTCATGTGAACAGCCAGTAAGCCACTCACCAAGATGATAACCCAACAACCCATTAGTAGTCAGAGGGTGACCCCTGGTGGCGTAATGGACAAATAATAGGTGTATTTACCAGACTACTCTCTGTAGTTAGATCCAGACTAAAATCACCAGAATGTTTAACATAAAAAAGAACATTTATTTAGGAGCATTTTATTCTTCCAGAACAATTCATATATGCTAGATCAATCTCGATAGTCATACTTGTGTTATAAATGACACTGTTTGATTATAATTGAACATTTGGTGACACCTGCTGGTCAAACGCTGTAACTGATTTAAAGGAGCATGAAAATGTTGTACTGACCCCTGGTGGTTAAATGTATGTACAGCATTTAAACAACCCAAAAATGTCTACAAAAAAGTAAAGTAGGTTATTTGTTTCAAAGGATGTTTCTTTATGAGTTTGAAACCTTTTCAACAGCTTTTGACCTCATAAAACAATACTTATATCTCCATTGTAAGACAACAAAAACTGCTGTAACTTAGGAAGAATATCTAACTAATTGGGCTTACTCAGACTTCAAGAGGTTGTCTTTGCAATAAAGTTGCAGAAGGCTTCCTTTGAGAGGAGATAAGCCCCTGTCTGTTGATATCTTATAGTCTAAAGACTTATATAACAGTTTCCTATTGTCACTCATTAGAAAAGGTTTTCCTGAATAGGACATTTCTGACGCCACCAAAGGGAAGACAAATATGTGTGATTGTTTTAGCAGCTGTGTATACCATTTAAGGGTTTTGACCATTGTGTTATCTAAAGTGATTTGTGAATCTGTGGCACGGCAGAGTTCACCCAACGCTGGTGTTACCCTTCTCTCTTCCTTCCTCTGATCCCTGAGCCAACATGTCTTCCATCTTTCAGAGCGTTTGAGCCACACTGTCTTCCTCTCCTTCCCCTCTTGGGTTCTGTAGTCAAGCTGCAATTCGCCTCTCATAGTGTTTCAGCCAAGATGGGCCTGCGAACATGGCTTCCTCATTGTATAGTTCCCAAGCCAAGATTGATGTTTCCGTTCTTTCAGTTAGGGCCAATTGAAAGAGGGGATTAACTGCGTTTCTCTAGTGAGCTCGGGATCGGATATGTGTGGGCACTGGGATACAGCAAGGTCAGAGACACGGTTTCGGGAATACTGCCATTTTCTCTCGCTCACATTCTTTTTCAGTTTTTGCCTTCACTTTTACTCTGTCTTTCACTTTTGGTCTTTGCTGCTGTGATGCAGTTTGTCCGAAAGCTCCGTCAGGCGGAATCATGCAGCACTGATGCCAGGCCACTGATGCCCAGTTTATACTCTAATAAGGCCATTAATGTGAGGGCACCTAAGTATCCATGTTATTGTCCAGGGCCAGTTACTTTAAAAATAATAATACGTTACATAAATGACTGAAACTGAAGTCCACTTATAGAAATATAACTCTAGCCTAATCATCAACTGCATCTGTGCAGACATAATGAGTTTAATCAGAATGTGAAACATAGCAAAATCATACTTACACACCGATGCATCGCAAGATATCAATCGCATAGGACATTATTTTCCAATTTTTGTTTATGTAATTGTAAAGCATCCAAGTACCTCTTTGTATTGTTTTTTTAATATTGTTTTCAGCATTTCTTTTATCATCAACATTATTATCTAGGCAGAAACGACAACACGTCACCTCCTCCAGCTACTACATGGCAGGGCTCATCCAAACTCACCGTCTACGGTCCACACTTCCTGCCAACATTCACCTCCCCTTTCCAGGAGTCGGATTAGACTTACTAATAGCCCTGGGATGTGGAAAACATCTTGTTTGTGTGTGTGGGCGTGTGAATGACTCTGATAGAAAGGGCTTCCTCCTCTTGCCCTCAGATTCTGCTGCACCTCCACCGGCCTCTCTGGAATGTCAACCAGTTCATACAATACCGCTGTCTTCACGTCCCGCCAGGTCGCAACGACGGAAGCATTCAGGCTTCAGAGAGAGGATTTCATCTGTGCATTCATACCAGCTATTGCATGGATTCTAAAGCAAATTCCAACCATTTTTTTTATTATTGAATAACTAAAACAATTGTTAATTGTATGGCAATTTGTCAAAACAATAGGTTCAAAATGCTTTGGGGAAAGAAATCAACAATTAAAACATACAGCACAGGAAAAATAGTACGAACAGATGTTAATCATTTAAAATCTAAGATGATCATAAAAACATTTTGGGATCGAGGATAAAAAACTAATATATTTTAATATATAGACATGAGTTTAAAAGATTCTTTTAATATTTGAACCATTTGCCGATCAATTAACGGATTCATTTGTTTAGTCTATTAAACATCAAGGACTTGTAAGAAAATGCGTATCTGGCTTTCCTAAATCCAAAGGGACATACATCAAATTATTTTGTCTGTGTTTGTTGTGCATGAGACAGCAGACTGTATGTGTTTTTAATCTGAAAAATGACTTGAAATTTATCAAGAACTATCCACCTACTCCAAAATACAAAGTGAAACTAGCCCCTTCGAGACAGTAATATGTCTTACCCCCTTCATGACGCATACTGTACGGCAGCATGGACACTTGATCTCCCTCACAGGGTGTTTGGCATCATCAACATGATCATGTCAGAATGATCCTCAGTGTTGTGACAGCCTCAGCCCGTGTGCATGTGTGTGGGTTCATGAGGGTGCTACTGTACCTGAAATAAGATCAGCAAACGTCTGCTTGGCCAGACATCAACAGCTTTGTGTCAGTATGTGTTACATCCATGCACACACATTTTCCTAGACCGATTTTAGTGTAATTTTTTATTATTTAACGGCATTACTCTCTTACCTGTGGGTGTTTTTCATCTGAAATAGAGTGGAGTGGGTGCTTCTGTTTCTGTGCAAATGGTATGACTGTTGTGACCCGATGTTCTTTCCCATGAGGTAATTTATTGGCTGCCAAGATAATGTCAGCTCAGTGTTACCAGGAATCCAGGCAGTATCCATGACGGTCAGTCTCAGCTTGGTTATAGCTGAAAGCTATGTTATTAACAGCATATGGTGTAATAGTTTAACACTTTGGGAATAACTCTTTTTTTCTTTCTTGCCAAGAGTTAGATTCCAATTGGAATACCTCTATCATGTCTGCATGTATGTATGAATGTAAAGCTTTAGACAGCCACTTGGTAGTTGTGCTTAGAATAAAGCCTGAAAGAGTTAACCTAACTTTGTTCAAAGATAACAAAAATAGCTGCTTTACACTTCAGTTATTGTACAGATGAAACCAACACAAAATAGAGTGTCCAGTAGTGAGCTTTAAAACTGGTTTGATGATAGGCGGTAGGTGGATTTAAGAAGAAAAAAAAGGTAGGAGTAGGACTAGCTGTTTCTCTTTGCTTCCAGTCTTTAGGCTAAGCCTGCCTTAGCCTGACTGTAGCTTTGTAATTACAGACATGAGCATGGCATCTTCTCTTCCTAACTCTCATTTGAAAAGTGTAAATATTATTGCCCGAAATGTATAACTATGGCCATAGCAAACCACTTTTTATTATAAGCAGGATTACTGCATATACAGTGGAGCAAAAAAGTATTTAGTCAGCCACCAATTGTGCAAGTTCTCCCACTTTAAAAGATGAGAGAGGCCTGTAATTTTCATCCTAGGTACACCTCAACTATGAGAGACAGAATGGGGGGAAAGAATCCAGGAAATCACATTGTAGGATTTTTAATGAATTAATTGGTAAATTCCTCTGTAAAAAAAGTATTTGGTCACCTACAAACAAACAACATTTCTGGCTCTCACAGACCTGTAACTTCTTCTTTAAGAGCCTCCTCTGTCCTCCACTTGTTAACGGTATTAATGGCACCTGTTTGAACTCGTTATCAGTATAAAAGACACCTGTCCACAACCTCAAACAGTCACACTCCAAACTCCACTATGGCCAAGACCAAAGAGCTGTCAAAGGAAACCAGAAACAACATTGTAGACCTGCACCAGGCTGGGAAGACTGAATCTGCAATAGGTAAGCAGCTTGGTGTGAAGAAATCAACTGTGGGAGCAATTATTAGAAAATGGAAGACATACAAGACCACTGATAATCTCCCTCAATCTGGGGCTCCACGCAAGATCTCACCCCGTGGGGTCAAAATGATCACAAGAACGGTGAGCAAAAATCCCAGAACCACACGGGGGGACCTAGTCAATGACCTGCAGAGAGCTGGGACCAAAGTAACAAAGGCTACCATCAGTAACACACTACACCGCCAGGGACTCAAATCCTGCAGTTCCAGACGTGTCCCCCTGCTTAAGCCAGTACATGTCCAGGCCCGTCTGAAGTTTGCTAGAGAGCATTTAGATGATCCAGAAGAGGATTGGGAGAATGTCATATGGTCAGATGAAACCAAAATAGAACTTTTTGGTAAAAACTCAACTAGACGTGTTTGGAGGAGAAAGAATGCTGAGTTGAATCCAAAGAACACCATACCTACTGTGAAACATGGAGGTGGAAACATCATGCTTTGGGGCTGTTTTTCTGCAAAGGGACCAGGACGACTGATCCGTGTAAAGGAAAGAATGAATGGGGCCATGTATCGTGAGATTTTGAGTGACAACCTCCTTCCATCAGCAAGGGCATTGAAGATGAAACGTGGCTGGGTCTTTCAGCATGACAATGATCCCAAACACACCGCCCGGGCAACGAAGGAGTGGCTTCGTAAGAAGCATTTCAAGGTCCTGGAGTGGCCTAGCCAGTCTCCAGATCTCCAGATCTCAACCCCATAGAAAATCTTTGGAGGGAGTTGAAAGTCCGTGTTGCCCAGCGACAGCCCCAAAACATCACTGCTCTAGAGGAGGTCTGCAAGGAGGAATGGGCCA